GACCCTGCTCTGGTGCTCTGGTTGGACCAGATGATCTTTCAAGGTCCCTTCCAGCCCCTAAGATTCTATGATTCTATGATTCTATGATAAGGTCTCCCTGGAGCCTCCTCCAGGCTGAACCACCACAAATCCTTCATCTTGTCACCCTAGGGGAGGTGCTCCAGCCAGTGACCCCCATAAGAAGGTGCCAGGGGTTAGTGCATTGTCAGAGCTGGTACAGAAGCACAGAGGGAAGGGTCCTGCTGAGACAGGGCCCACACAGAGCTGCTCACACTGCTCTGTGGCAGGGGCTGCCTGTTCTTGCCACAGGAACTGCCCATCCCCTCCTGCAGGCAGCGGGAACAGCTGAGCTCTCTGCCTCGCTAATGCTGCCTGCCTGGGTAAGGAAGCAGGACCTGGCAAGCTGGCTCACTGCCACAGGGGCAGGAGGCAGCTCGTTCTGCCCGGATCAACCAGCTACTCAACCATCACAGCAGCAGGGGCTGAGTTTCCTGCACTGTCTGATTTAGCATACAGTGTTTGCTCAGGCAGAGTCTCCTGCAGAAAAAAGGCAAGGGCTAGAGGGAAGCAAACCCATGGACCAGCAAGCTGATGTAAGCAAAGTACTCAGGATAAAAGTGGGTTAGCTCGACCACTAAGGGCACCATAGGCAGGTGGGTTTGCAAAGCAGCACATCCTCACAACATAGGTGGCAATGAATGGACCAAGCAGATTCTTGCTTCTTCCCTCGGACTGAATCTGAAACCCAGAAATAAGCTTTTGGCACACATGTGGGCAGTATCAGGGCTCTCAGGAAAGAGACTCCTCTTTCAAAGTAAACTTCAAAGTAGTACTTCTACAAAATGACTGCACAGAATGATCCCAGCATTTACCCAGCTCAGCTACTATAGATGGATGGGCACGATAAGCTGCCTCCAGTGGGCAGCTTCCTGGCTGTGAAGTGTCAAAGCTCAGGCAAGCACGTGGAAATAGAGGTTTGCTGCTCTATTAGGAAAGGGTGATGTTCCACTTTTATTCTCCCAGAAAACTTAGTTCTGTTAAACCGGGCTGCGTTTGGCAACTGCAATCACCGATCCAGTCGCTGCACAGCTGAGGGAAGCAGGGAGTTATTGTGTGATTGAGTGGGGTGGACACTGGCTTTTCTAAATCACAGCTAACCTGACTCATCATGCTGGTCTCCAAGGCACAGAGAGGCAGGCAGAGAGCTGAGAGCCTGCAGTTTGTTCTTTGCAAGCCTTGGAGGAGTCTCATCAGTGGAAGGGAAAGCCAGCTGTCCATGACCATTCAAACAGTGGCCTTAAGCTGCTTCAGGCTTCTCATTTTTCAACATTTTGGGGACAAAGTGTTCTCTTTAGAAAAGGCTGGAAGCAGTCCCTGTGCAGCCACAAAAGGGAAAAGGAGCTGCAGCAGCCGTTTCACAGCTACTTCAAAGGCTGCCTAATTCTGGTGCTGACCTAGTGAGGGCAGGTAGAGCTCCCTGGCAACCTCAGTGCTTTTCCCCAAGGCTGCCAGGTCCTATCAGATTGCACACCTGATTTCACATAGTGCCTGTTAGAAGGCTGGCCTCGACCTCCTGTCCTCAGAAGACTCTTGCTGAAAGTGGGGGGTGAATTCCTGCTCACCAAACAGTACCTCCATGCTCTGTGCTCACCCATATAGCCAGCAGAATAAAATAAACTGTCTCTCACAGACAGCTCAAGTGGCCAGGTGTCCTGCCTTGAACCATGATGAAGCCAGTTTTCTTTTTACTGATTTTTTTTCTTCAGTGAACTCTCTTTTAAGCAGCACACTCACTGAAATTAGCAGCAAGTTTTCCAGCCAATGGACTGGTAACACTCCAATGTTTACAGTTACTGCTGAGAGACCACGGTCACTTTGCTACACTTGTTGAATCTGCTGCTTCAGACACTAACAGAGCAGAAGAGTTGTACCTACAGCCCTCCCATGGGGAGGAGACAAGAGTTGTCAAAATTGGCCAAACAAAATATTTCATCCCATATATTCACCACATTCAGTATCAATATGAAAGTCAAGCCTCTTCTGCTGTCCACGGCCAGTGTCCAGGGAGGACTGTCTATCCATCTCCGTTGATCCTTAGGTCCATGCATTCCTGACCCCAGCTCTACCCTCAGCTCCTGTCTGCTCTCCTGCAACCTCTGGCAGCAGTCTGGGACCTTCTCGGGGCTGCTCACAGCTCGGGAGATGCCATGGGAGTTGCTGGGGGTGGGCAATGGGGGTCATGCACATTCCTGTGTATATTTGTACGTATTTTATCATGAGTATTTCATTAATCTGGAAGCCTCTCTCCCTTTATTCTCTGTCTCCTTTCCCTATCTGGGTGGGAGGAGGAGGGGACAGAGAGCATTATGATCACTTAATTGCCAATCCCGAGTTCAACTGTAACATCAGGAAATAATGCACAGATACCACAGGCTTCACCAATGTCCCTCAGAGCTGGTTTGCTAGAATCCCTTTGCAAGTCAGGAAGGTCCTTCTTGGGTTACAGCTATTCATCGTTGCTCATACCATCAACAAGGTTGATTCCTTGAGCCAGCCACTCTTGCACCCTGTTCTCACCAAAGCCATTGGGATCAACAAGGGAAGAATCTCATGGTAAGCAGTTCAAAGCCATGTCAGATTTTCACAGGTGGTACTGAAGAAGAGGGTGTGGAGTGTCCTCCACAGAAGATAACACCAAAGGATCAAAGTTTAATCCTTCAATGACAGGAGTGTGGGATATAAAAAACATAGCAGTTAACTGGCTGATCTTCCAAGAAATATGGGCAAACTGGCAAGAAACAAACCACGTCTGCATAAACGCTGGTGGACCTGTGAAATGGCAAAGCAGTTTTCTGTTTCTGCACCCTGCAGAACAGCAACATTGATCTCCATCCCCCATAACCTTTAACGAGCTCATTCTTACCAGTCTCCCTGGAGAACACAGATGTTGGTATTTCTATTTTTCCAGGTGACAGACATCCAAAACGGCTGAGGTGCTGTCACAAGCAAGGTTCAAAGACACTTCATGGAGGACCTGGATAAGACAAGTGGTCTGCAGGACACGTGTTCAGCAAGGGCTGTTCTAATACTTTCTTCACTGGGCATGCTCCATCTGAGGGGCAAAGCCACAGAGGAAGCACAGAGCAAGAAGTTCCTCAAAATCCTCACGGTCACCTTTGAGAACATCATGTCTTTACTGTGAGGGTGGCAAGAGACTGGAACAGGTTGCCCAGGGAAGCTGTGGATGACGCATCCCTGGAAGTACTCAAGGCCAGGTTGGATGGAGCTTTCAACAACCAGGTCTAGTGGGAGGTTCCAACTTCTCATGGACGGGGGTTGGAACTAGATGATCTTTTAAGGTCACTTCCAACCCAAACCATTCTATGATGCAGACTGGTCATCTTCTTCAGACTACCTTTCATTTCCTAATTCCCATTGGCAAAGGAAAAGCCTGTTAGGGCCTGCATGTGTGTGGCTTCTCTCTGGGTGCCTAGTAGGGAAATAAGTTTCCTGCCTCACTCCACTGCCCACATCCAACCCCCTCTAATCTGCCATACTTGAATTTGCTAGATTTCAATGAAATACAACAATGAGAGACAGCTTAACAAACAGTATGTCTACGGGTAGGCTTTTCCAAGAGAAGGGCTTTAATTCCATTCATGAAGACAGGTATTTTTTTCTTCCCAAGTACAGCTAATTCATAACATCAGCAACACTGAAAACTTACACACAGTCACAGAGCAGGCAGAAATGTTTATGGATGTTAGGGCACACGATGCTTGGATGGGTTCTTCTGCCCTCCCACTAACACTGGTTTTGTTTTGGTGACCAGGTACATTGGCTACACAAAAAACATACTTTGTGTCCATCTTTCTGCTTTACCAAAATGAAGCCTGCATTAAGGTAACTACTACTACAGCCACATACCCAACAGGTATACGCAGTGGATTAAGAACAAAGCAGTCACATTTGTTGGGTAACTCTCTGTGGAGCTTGATGTGAAAAGAACAGTACAGAGGATATGATTCGTATTTTAAATGCACAGAGTGACCTTAGGTCAGGCAGCAGAGCAAGCTGCCAGTTTACTGTTCATCTGTAATAGAAGTCAGGAAGAGAGAGAAGCTACCAGAGAAACATGTTTGGGGTTTGCATTTTTTAAATTCTTGGTTATTTCAATTTAGTTTTTTGCTTTTTACTTACACTTAGAGCCATGAAATCACCCTTTCCTCCCTCCAAGCTGCAAACAGATTGCTTCTACAAACCTGAGCCTGCGTTTCAAATGTCACCGCTGACTTTTGTTCTGGGTTTCTTCTAGCCAGTGTCTGTAGCAGGAGGAGGGGGATGCTGGAGCCTGCAAGGCTGGCTCTGCTGTTTAGAGGTGCGCCCAAAGGGCTGATCTGCAGCATCAAAAACTGGCAGATAGGTTGTAAGATTTCCAAGAACTGATTTGGCAGGTGTTGTGTCCTACCTTGCCTAGCTACAAACCTGCTTGTCATCTTGTTCCTGAACACAAAACACTGCACACTACAAGAACTCTGCATTGAGCACAGGGTCAACGAGAGAATGGAAGGCAGTAGGAAAGGAGCAGAAGACAGACATGTCCTTTGAGCCTTGCATTTGGGATCACATGAGTTCACATGCTCTTCATTATTCCTACAACATGGTTCCAGTATTGCTGCTCTGGCACTTGTAGCACTTTCCTAACGTTAGCATCCAGCTAGATGCACCAGTATGTTATTTCCCTTCACAGATTGAAGATGTGGTTCCCAACAAAGCAATCAAATCACAGGAACACTGTGGATGACTTAAGTTTAAATGTTCATTTCCCATGAACAAAAAACAGAAAAAAAAACCTTGTGACTTTTTTTGGACAGGTTTCAAAATTTTAAATCCATGGGGCCCCTTTGAAGTGACAAGTATTTTTTTGTTCCAAGTTTTTTTTGTTTGTCAATGAGGCTCTACAAAGTAACAGTGGCAGGAAAATTCCCCACAGAGAATTTCACTTTTCCAGTGGTTTCAGCATGTCCCAGTTGGCATTTCCAGGCCTTTCCCCTTGGAATATAGGAATCAATCCTCTTCAATTGCAGTTTCACCACACAACATAGCACTGTTGACACTCGAAGATAATAAAGAGAGATAAAGGCATAGGTGTGTTCCAGCTCTCACCTGCCAGCCCGTGCCCTTTGCTGAGGCTGTGGTAGATCCTTCCTTGACAGACTGGGCTGTTCAGAGACCCTCAGACAGCCGCGAGGGGTCAGCGCCGCAGCCTGAGGAAGAAGGCGTGCTTGCATTCCTTGCTGTCCAAGGGATAATATTTGTCATAAAAATCCAAGATGTATTCCTCAGTCTTAAATCCAAACTTTTGGTAGAGCAGCATAGCAGGGTTACTCGCAGAAACGTGAAGGGTTACGTCTTTGCCCATGCAGGTCTGCCAAGGGAGGAGGGGGAAAAAGAAACATCACAACAAGAGCCTAAGAATGCCTCTGGGGGAATGCGGAGGTGAAGAGATTCATCGGTTCAGGTATTCAAGTTACTGAGGAAACATGAGAAAATCACAAGCCTCAACACCCGAGTTACCACACATAGCAACAGCTGAAAGGAAAAGGGAATGCTGCTGTTCCTCTAAGCCTTTGTTTCAGGAAAACATGTACTCTCTGACAACGAGGGCAGGTTTTGGGTTAGAATTTGTCAGCTATCCATTGTCGATGGCTAAGTAATTGTTAATTAAAAATAGTCTTGGTGTACAGAACTGATCTCAAGCACTTACTAACAATGGCCTGAAGAAAAGACAAAACATGCCAGAGGATCAGGCACCACACTCCTCCCCATCAGTAAACAGAGCTGAGCTCTCTGGGACTGTGCAAGCGGCCCCAGCGCACCTCTGGGCTGTCACACTGGAATTCCTGTCTATCCCACCCAGCTCCTCTCCCATCCTTCAGGGCACAGCACTGCTTCTTGAGAAGGCAGGAAATTCAGTTCAGACAGCATTATAGATCCCAAATTATTCTAACCAGCACCTCTCTGATAAAGATGCCAATATAGTATTTTTTTTCCTGCTTTCATCTAGTGTTTTAACAGCATAACCCCAAGTGGGAACAGTAACACCCTTTAGGAAATTTCCACGGTAGAATATTCTAAGGGAAAACCCTCACAAGAATTTAAGAAGGGGGAAAAGTAAAATAATCTGGATTAATTTTGGGGAAAATGAAGTTGGAATGAGATATTAATAAGATACAGTTTGGTCCTCTGAGCCAGATGCATTAGAGGGTAACGTCTGAAAACAAACCCACCATCAAGGCATCATATACATCAGCACGTTTTCTGTTAGATTATGCTGCTTCTGAAAACCCATCCCCAAACTCAGCACATTGATGCACGAGACAGAATTACCCTTAATCCAAGCAGTGTATTAAAGTAGCTCTACCTACAAAGAGCAGACACTGGTGTCAGCCCAAGTAGGCTGTGAAGTAGCGCCTACATCTGGTGGCTGGGGAACAGAAGGTCATAACCATCATGTCTTCTCTTCCATGACTAAATGCCTTATACCACTGACAGATCCTTGGTAATGGAAAAAAAAACAACTGGTGATCTCTCATTGCTAGCAAGCCTAATCAACCTGAAACTTGCCTGGTGCTCCTCAAGGTGGTAATTTTATGCAAGTCTACCTGCAAGCAGAGTTAGGTTAATTGGCATAGGTTAATTGTGACATATCCTACAAAATGCTGTGATTTTCTACAGCTGACTTGCCAACACATCCCAACTCTGCTGGAGATACACAAGTCCAGCTGTCAGATCCTTGCAAACCTTGGTGCACTGCTCCTGCCTGTTCTCACTTGGTGTTGACACCTCACATTAACAGACTACAGCGGAGGGCAATTTACTTAAACACTTGACACAGAGAGATTGGGGAAATGTAAGCAGAGAATTTGAAGTAAGTTGGTCAGTGGTCAGCATCAGCACATAGAGCAAAGACAGCTGGACACTGCAGAGAGCTATGTAGGTAGGTAGAAGAGTTACCCTCAGGTGGCCCAGAAGAGCTACTCTATGTGGAAACTGCTTTTCCCAGGCACAGATCCCTGTTTCCAAGGTTCTGCCAGCACATTTTTTTACACTCTTTTCAGCCAAATGAGTATGATGAAAGTTTCAATGGCAAATTTTTGCTAGTGCAGCTCATCTTGACTAGAACAAGTTAAGAAATGTTTCACCTCGGCAGCTCTGCCAAGAGAGTTCAGGGAGTGGTAAAGCTGTGAGCCCTGAAGAGGCACAGTTGGGCTCTGAAAAGGACATCTGTCTGCATCCTTACTCAAAATTAAGCTGGCTTTCCTGCAACTTAATTCAAGAAAGTGAATGGAATTAAAGCCAACCTGAATAACAGTATTCATTCAGAGATTTAATGAAGTTTCACTACTTTAATACCACGAGTTCAGTTAGCTCAGATTAATTTTCCCAAGTGTCCCTGTGGAACAAAGCCCAGTACAAGCTAGTTTCAACAAATTTGAATGAGGCTACAAACACTTATTCTTTATCTTCAATTCAGCTGGATTTGAACCAGAGTATTAGAAAGTGAAAGAGAATGATTAAGATCAGTAAGTGATTTAATGCACTGGCCCTGGTCAAGTTATGAAAAAACCTCCAGGTGTAGCTGAGACAGCTGTAATAGATTCTAACAGAACCTCCCCACTATTATCTCAGTTTCTCCTTTATACTCCAAATCTATGGTATTACTGTTAAATGAACCACTGACCACCAAAGAACGCAAAGTTAATCCCAAGAGAGTAAAAGTCTACAGCACCTCACCAATTATGAGGACCTGTCCACTATGGTTATTCTTTATGCCTTTGAAGAGATTTCCCACCATAAGTGTTCTCACAGGCTGCTGACAGTGGGAAATCTGTGTAGACATGTGAGCGAAGAAAGGGCAAGGGGAAAAAGACAGAAAGGAAGAACACCACACTACTTACTTCCTAATACGTGCATGTGCACACACAAGGAAAAAGGGAGAGCTAGTTGCTTAGCAGAGACAGGGGATTTTGTTCATTACCTGGATAAGATGGTAAATCATGAAGGTTGCAATCCCAGCTCTTCTCCATTCAGGGTGAACTAACAGAAAAGAGATGTAAGCTTCATTGTATTTCACATCTGGCACCATAAAGCCAAAGGCAATAATAACTTTCTTGTAAAGGACAACAACGCTGAAGTCTGGATACTGCAGACATTCTGACAAATCAATTCCTATGGGGAAAGAGAGAAACAGCAGTTGAAAGCATTGTAAACCAAAAGAAAAGCACCACACTTGCATGGAAATTCACTGTTTCAAGGCCTTTTCAAAAAACTCACTTGCTCCCTTCCTTTTACCTTTGTTTCAAAGTTCTGAGATTGAGAGATGCTTTAACCAAACACACAGAGACAAAACAAGACAAAGAGATTCCTCCAGGGAGAAATCAACAAAGCCAATTTCCTCCTAAATGACTTGAGGATGAAGCTAGAACTCAAAATGTGTATTCTCTAAAATATTTTTTTAAAAATGGTTTAAAAAAAAAAAGAAAAAAGTCACCATCTCAGCATCCAAACTTTCCTTGGTTTGCATGTTGAGCCATATCAGTAACACTACTGGATAAGAGTTTGCTTCTTCATTTCACCTGGTCTGGAGCAGCACCAGTCAGCAAATGCTGAGGACTTGCCTGCACACAAGCAAAGGGGTCAGGGGACAGTTTACGGTGTATCAGCCTGGTAGACAGGATGAACCACCCTGTCCTTCAAACTCTCTCCAGACACAGCAGACATGAAACTGGGGATTAAATTTAGTAGCATTACCTGCCTAAGGTTTCTACCTCTTTTCTCCACTTGGCCTTGAGCTCCTCCTGCTTCCTCTGTTGTGCATACTCAGCTGTTTGTGGAGCTGCACTGGAAACTTGAGCACAGCTTTAAACTATATAAAAACATTTGCTTTTAGCATGCACATTCTCTAATCTGGGGTGTGAAGCAGCCTTGCAGGCAGTGGTGCTTCTCTGAGTCAGAGACTGGACTGAAATGCCTGCAGCTGGTGACTTGTGAGCGCAGTTTGTTACCTTGCCTAATCCCATTGCTGCTGCAGCCTAAGAGGATCCACACAGCATGTTAGGGCCGAGCAGTGCAGTTCACAGCACAGAAGACTGCTTGGTAATTTGTATGGACAGGCCCTAAATTACGTGCAAGACTTAGCAGAACTGTGCCATAAATGTTAGTTTCAGCCTCAAATTGGCCATCATGCATATATTTGAAATGTGGTATAACAAAATAGCAGAGTGTTTTCCAGTTATGTTTATCACTCTTGATGAAATGCAAGACTTCATGAGGCACCCGGCACAAATAAGCGGGTGAATTATTTTCTTGCTTGAGAGTAAACTGGGTGGAGTAAGACGTGGGAGGAATCGATTGGCAATAGGGAGCTGCTGTTAATTATCTCAAGGCTACAATTGACTGTGAAGTGCCTTACAGCCTGTCTGTACAGGAACCCTACATAGCCCCAAGCACACTGGCACTGTCTGTGAAATGGAGCCGTCCCCTCAGCACGCAGTTATTCCTGTAGGGAGATGCTTAGTTCAGTATGGTTTACCACTCAAGCTGCTTGGGAGTTGTTTCCCGTTAGGACATGAAGGCACAAGATATTGTGAGAGACAAGAGGGAATCTTGCCTCACATCAGCTCATTTGCGGCAACTACCTGCAAACTTGTTTCTGCCTTGTGAGAAACTAGAGGAGCTCTGACAGGAAGGATAGAAGGAGGTGGAAGAACTACAGCTGGGCTCACCGTAAGAGGTGAAGTGCCTAAAACTTAAGAACGCTGTCAGCAAGAGCATGGCTATTAGAAGGCAACTGAGCACACCTGAGATACCATTTACTGACAAAAACATCACCCAAGCAGACATACTTTGGATGCCCTAACTTAGATGGAATTACAGCAGCTGTTTCTCTGAACAACAGTGCTATCTTAATTGTGCTCTTCCAGCTGCATATCCCACCCCCTCCCTAACTGTATCAGCCTGTTATGAAGCTAAACCTTTCAGCTCCACAAAGACACTGAAGCATCTCCTGAAGTATCACCACCTTGCTTACCTCTCTGGCTAAAACAAAGCCAAGGTGCAATAGATTGTATAATCCTAGTCTCCAAAAAATTTACATCACTAAGGAGATTTTGATTCCTGCTTGGAGACCGATGGGAGTGTCAGCTTTCTGATTTAATGACGAACAGTTCACAGCCAGGTGGAACACACCCACGTTCTTTATGTTAAATAAAACAGGGTGAGACGTGAAGAACTAAATGAAGGTGTGACCCAACTTGGCCAGGACTTCAAATGCACTATCAGAAGAAGAGACACTATGACAAAGAGGTTCAGCCTCTGTTGGGATTGCAAGTGTGTCTCATGAGCTTCAAAACAGCTTGTGAAAGGGAATTTATGTCATACTATCTCCTTCAGAACTGTACTATTTGTACAACGAGCAGCACACAGAGCTCCAATCCTGACTGCAGCACAGGAGCACTGCTGAACTACAAATGCTGTTGAATCACCACCTGCAAGTCAAAACGTAAACGCAAACAGTTACTTGCAATAAAGGTGTGTACTGTTTGTACTGCAATTTTCTAAATCAGTCTGCCGCACTGTTTGCTGATCAGAAGCTGATCCATGCAGTAGATGAACATCACTATTATTATTTTGGAAGAACTAGAGGCTACAGCCTCATAACTGCCAGCACAAAGAGCAGTCCCTGTTCCCAAGAACCTACAGTTCAAGAAATTACACATAAAAAAATTGATACCCAAGCTTTCCCCTACTCTGCAAATACTGAGGCTTGAAGAAATAAAGGACACCACAGTGAAGCTTGCAGGTGTAAGTGCAATTCTCAGATTTCACTCCAATGCATCCAGCTTGACTAACAGGAAGAAACTTTCTTATGAAGCTAATGAGCAGTAGATCTCTAGTATAAAGCTTATTTTCTTTGTCCAGGATTCTGTAAAAGGTTTCACAGGATGCTTTTTAGTAACTTGACTACTCCTGTTGGTATCAATGGTATTACCCAAATCAACCTATTTCTTTAAGTGGTTTGCTAATTAGGGCCTAACTGTCCAGTTCTAGATGATCTCAAAAGACAAGGACACCAAAATCATGTCTCCATCTAAACTGCATTCCTGTAACATCAGATAATGGTTTTCTAAGAACAGAGCCAGACATCAACTGAAGAAAAATCTGGCCCAAGAACATCTTTGAACAAAACCACTTCCTTCTTAGAAAAGCAAGCACTGAAGGATTCTTACCAGGCCAGAAGAATTCGTGGCACATGGAATTTATAGTGGGGATGTGATTAGGGCGAACGTAGCAGTAATCAATGGGTGCTTCTGGCTCAGCCTTCCAGTTGACATCATTCCTATGTGGATACGCCCGGATTTCTGCCAGCAGCCTGAGCTTTGGGGGCTTTGTCTCATAATCACGCCTGCCAGTAACATGAAAAGCACACACAAAAGGTGAGCGAGCAACAGTAACTGCCACTGCAGCTCAATGGGTACTGCCCATGAAATATTTTCTGACATGCTCAACTTGGAACAAATTCCCATTTGTGTAGAAAGCAGCACCCAGCTTAGCAAAAACACCCTCATATCAGAGGCCAGGACACTTCTTCAACCCACAGCACAGAAAACCAGCCTCTCCTTTACAGAAGGAGCACGGAAATAATGGTTCTGACCCAAGAGCAGGTGCAACTTACATTGAGTGACTGTGGTGATTCCCTCTCTGCCCTGCCCTCTATTGGAGATTGCCCTTCCCAATGCAGAGCCCGTTTCACTACTCAGCTAAACAAAACACTGTTGTGTCAGGGTTACCATAGTGTACTGGGTTGTACTTCAAGGATGAGCGAGGAGCACTGCCCAGGAATGGCGTCCAACTGTGGGCTGTTGGTTCACAAGCCAAGAGCAAATTCAACCTCTGACCAGCTGTACCTGATGTAAGGTTTCAGGACACGGGATGTGTAGGGACTGACAATGCTGTGGTCTGTCAGCAGGTCTTCTGAGCCTACCAGTCGATACAGAAACTTGGTTGTCTGCTGTCGATATCCCTTCATGGTTGGCAGCATTGTCTATACACACCAAAAAATGCAGAATATTTCAGGAAGATTAGTCAATGACTTAACACAGGGGAATCATAGCAACAAAGAGAGAATAAGGGCTTTTCAATGTGACCAGATAGACTGCACCCACAGTATGATGATCCTACCTCAAAGGACTCTGCTGTGTACTCTCAGATTTAGCACCCAAAATTATAAGCCACACACATCACTCGGAAAAGTGCTTCAAGTGATCACCCTCCTACATAGCATGAAAGAACAAATGCCTGTTTAGGCCCTTCCAGGCCTCCATCATCAGTGTTTGGGCAGGGCTGGAGAACAAATTCATAGACATTTGTGGTGCTGACAGTGACAGAGTTATGATGTATGCACTTGTCCAAAGAAGAAAAGGGCTTGTGAGGACATTGATGTGGACACAGTTCGAGGTTAAAATGAGTCTTGTTCACATAATCCTTTTTACTTTGGGAGTCAGATAACCTCAAGGTGCCACTGCTGTCTGCAGCAAAAGCTCTAAAATTACTATTGCCAAAAAGCCCAGTTAGCTTTGGAAACACTCACCTGGTATCTATCCAAGATCCTATAGTCCTGGCTAGTAGTTCTGTATGTTGCTTGCCCTACTGGGGACCTGGAAATGCCTCCTTCTTTGGCTCCATAAATCCCATCAACCAAGAGCAGCGCAGCGTTCACAACCTGGTCCAAGTCAAAGAGCGGCAGTCCGCTTTCCCTCTTGGCCTGCCTGACTATCAGCTTACGCCTCAGTCTCCGGGCCTCTGGGTTCATGCTCAAGGCATTGGGACAGGCTTCCAGTCTCTTCAGCAGCAGCTTCTCCTCATAGATACTAACAGAGGTAGGTTTGGGAGCTCTGGGTTTAGCATCCTTCTCCTGCTGCGGCTTCCTCTTGTCTCGCCCCCTCACCTGCAGCAATGCATTTGACTCTTCAGGATCCTCACTGTCACCTTCCATCCTTTCTGTTTTTTCTTCTTCACTCTCCACCTCTTGCTTGATCTGCTCAGCTGTCTTCACTTTTTTTCTACTTGCTATCACAGTGCAAGCACCAGCTGTCCCACTGGGAGGGGGCACATACTCTATTCCTGGATCTATGACTCCATCCCCTTCCATCTCCTCATCATCTGTTCAACAGATCAAAATAATCCAGGAAAAAAAATGTAAACATCAAAGCTTCATTTCAAGAAGGGTTGTCACAGGACTTCTCTATTAAGGAGAAATAATGCAGATTTAACTAACACACTCCATTTTCTACATACTTCTGGACCTCCTGATTTTGGACAGAAGACACCATAAGGAGTACGATTCTGGACACAGAATAAATCCTTCTGCAGTTTGGCATTTGAAAACAGCACTCCTGAGCTTCAAGCTCATGCTCTGACAAATGTTGAAAATTCCCAAAGACTGGGGATCAAATGGACAAGCTGGCGAGCTATATCTTCAGCTAGCAGACCCTGGAGAAGCTCTGTTTAATCTAAGGGAACAATTAGGAATGACAGAAGTTCAATATTTGTCCCTCTACAGAACTTGACTATTGCTTCTTCACAAGAATTGCTTTATTCTCCACTTTCTCCATCAGACTGAGGTCTGGGTCCTTAAGAATCTAACAGCATTCAGCCTGCATCACTGCCTTGCAACCTGACTGAAACTTAGCATCTTCTAATAAGGATGTTGAAACTTATAAAACTACCTACAAAGAGATTAAAATTTCTCCCATTTAAAGACATTCAAGTCAAAATTAGAATTGCTACCAAACAGTGTAGTATGTATTGCAGTGAAATGCTTATGCTGAGTGGTGCAGCAGTCACTAGGTGATACCTGCTACCCACTGTTTATTCAGGATCACTCAGGGGACAATAATGGTGGTTCCTTCTGGCTTTAGAAGCTGGCAATACAACTGTGGAAAACTAATCAAGACTTACAAGCAACTAAGACAAACAGAATATTACCAGTTACTTTCTGTCTTATCTTGAAAAGCTCCTCCATCTCATTGGGAGAGAGCTAATTTATTTTTTTTAACACCTTACTAAACAACTATATATTGCTCATTATTAAAGAAAAACTATGGTATCTCTTACCATGAAACAGAGCCTGTGGTGGCATGACATCTGGGATGAGATCTGCTTCAGAGAGAAGGCTGGGAGTAGCTGAATGTGAGGCTGGAGTGCCAGGAGCAGAGAAGTCCAGAGATGGGGAAGGAGAAGGGCTCGTCAGAGGAGTGCGATCTGAAGAGCTCAGGGAGGAGAAGTCAATCACCTCTCCTTTCTCCAGGACAATATCGGGACGACGGCCTCGACTGGTGAATTTCACAGGAGTGGAAGAAGTACTCCTGTCCAGGAAGCCAGCTGCCTCCTTCTGGGCTCTCCGAATATCCTTGGCTTCCTGAGTGCGAGATCTCTTCTCCTTCAGCTCCATGGCTGATTCGACTGGATTGCGGCTTACCCGCTTCCTGAGTCCTTCCACAGTAATTATGGGATCCAGAGGTGGCTTTGAAGCTGCTAAAGAAGTAGTTTACTTATTCTAACAGACACTGGATACACACTATATGGTCAGAACAACACATTGACTATGATTCTTAGAAGGTGTATTTTCAAAATACATAAGAAATTCACTCTTGGACATCTGGCATAAAGCCATAACAGAACTAAAGCCTCATTAAAGCCCCAGTCTTGTTCCTCTGCATATAAGGGAACCTGCATCTAGAGATAAAAGATAAATAAACTCTTCTCAGGGCAAAGGGGAGTATAGAAACTGTAGGTTTCAGCTAAAGATAAAACCAAAACCAAACCGAAAACCCTGGCAAGAATCTCAAAATTCTTTATATCAGTTATCACAATGCAAAAACATAACAAGCTTCTCAAACTACAGCATATGCACCATAGTTCTACGTCAACCATTACAGCAAAGCAAAACTAAGAATTTGTCCATGTACACAAACAAAGTGTAAACTTTTCTCACGTTTTCCAGCTCTGGTTTAGCTAGGAACCTACAGACCACCAGGGAAAGAATTACCTTTTGCCTTTAGTGCAGATGCAGACAGCTTCTCTCCTTCAGGTTTCATTGTTGGGGGTTTATTATGGACTAGTTTCCACCATCCTGGCTCCCCAAACTCCTGTGCCCCTGAGCGGAAAAACAAGGGGCTCCCCACAGAGAGACAGCCAGCAACTGTGCTCCACCATGTTGAGGTCTTTTTCCTACAGTGGGAGAGGGGAAAATAAATGTTTGGTCCCCACTGGACAGTTGCACTTTCATCCTGTAAGCCTCATCCCTCTGCCAAGATGGAAAGAGCAGAGTGCTTCTGCCACTGGCACAGATGCAGGGGGATGATGTACTCCCTCCATCTTCATCCTCCAAGAGGCAAAAGATTAATTTATTTCTTCTCAAACAAGAGAACAGGGCCATAGTCTGTTACTGAAGACAGCAAACAGGACTCTGGGTGTACAGGATGGGAGAGGTGAGGAAAAGGTAGTGATAAAGGCATCACTTCAAACAGAAAGAAAGACAAACTTAATTTAAATGTGTGTCTCGACTGCTTTAAGATTTCATTTAGCAAAGCATGCTCCCAGAGCTGCAGGACAGGATCCCCAAGACTCAATTCACAAAGCAGGTTGGGGTCCAACCACTCCACCCTCCATATCTGCCACCTCGTCAGGCACAGCAGAGAAACAGTTAGGGGTCTGAGAAATAAATCACCAAGGACTACAGAGCTGCTGGAAGTAGCAAGGTAATGGAGTATGTATGCTTGTTCCACAGGCACATGCATGCAATATATAATGGAGCCCAACCTCTGCCTGGGGTTTTCTGCCATAAAACCTCTCCTGAAGCATGAGGAAGAGGACTCTGACTAGTCAACATAGCAGTCACCTACACTACTTTTGAAGCACATTTTTGGTGACATGGAGATGGGGAAGCTGCATTTAAACCTTCTACTCTGCAGGGCAGTGTACTCTACCAGGCATCTAAGCACTCCCTCTCCCTCCAAGAGCAGGTCACAGAGCTAATTAAAATGTCACTTAGGAAGGCATTGAGAAGAAATATTTTAAAAATGCTCTTGTAGCAAATAACTGAGGTACTCCTGTGGATACTGGAGAATCAGGTTCATAGCGTAGAGTCTAAACCCTTGCTCTCTCAGGATTCCTCCTTGCCTTTGCATACCTCCACTGCCAAAAACTTCAGCACTCAGGTTAGGTTTGGCCAAGCAGATACTTGCTGCTGAGTGTTGCCAATTACACACCTTGGGGTATTGACCCTCAGATGTGAGGGATTAAACTTAAGCACTCCAGATCAGAGTCTGGAAGGTTACGGTAAATACGGACAAGCTGTGCTGTAATATGCCAAGGAGGTAAAGCATGGCACGCCTTGAACCTCTACACATATGGTTCAG